TTATATGTCTTCCTATTTCTTCTACTAATTACAGTAGTCCTTTTAACATTTCTTGCAGTGCTGGTTTGGTGCTAATATATGCCTCCTTTAGCCTTTTTCTTTTTTTGGTCTGGGAAGCTCTTTCACCTTCAACTTTGAATGATAGCCTTGCTGAATAAAGTACTCTTGGATTCAGATACTTGTTTTTCATTAACTTTATTACTTCATGCCATGTCCTTCTGGCCTAAAGTGTTTCTGTTAAGAGATCAGCTAATAGCCTATGGAGGTTCCTTTGTATGTGACCTGTTGCTTATCTCTTGCTGCCTTTAGGATTCACTCTTTGTCTTTAATTTTTGCCATTTAAATTATTATGTGTCTTGAAGTGTTCCTATTTGGGTTCTTCTTATTTTGGGCTCTCTGCGCTTCTTGAACTTGAATAGCTTTTTCTTTTACTAAGTTAAGGAAATTTTCTGTCACTATTTCTTCAAATATATTCCCTTGCTCATTTTCTTCTTCTTCTGGAACTCCTATGTTGTGGATGTTGTTATGTTTTAGATTGTCCCACAATTCTCTTAAGCCATTGGTTCTCAACCTGTGGGTCACGGCCCCTTTGGGGGTCAAATGCCCCTTTCATAGGGGTAACCTAAGATGTAACAGTAGCAAAATTACAGAAAATAATTTTATGGTGGGGGGATCACCACAACATGAGGAACTGGTATTAGGGTCATGGCATTAGGAAGGTTGAGCTGTCTTCCTGTTTTTTTAATTGTTTTTTTTTTTATTTTTGGTTTTCTGATTGGGTGATTTTTTTCTACCGTCTTCTAATTCACTAATTTGGTCCTCAGCTTCCTCTACTCTGCTGGTTATTCCTTCCAATGTTTTCTTTCTTTCTGCTATGTCATTCTTCATTTCCAATCATTTGGTTTCCAATGTTTCTATATCTCTACCCATGCTGTTGAGCTTCCTCATTATCATCACTCTGAACTCTACCTCTGATAACTTGCTTGACTACATTTTGTTTATCTCTTCTTCGGTAGAGTTCTCTTATTATTTCATTTGGGATTTGTTTTTTTGTTTCACCATTTTGGCTGTCTCAGTGGTTTTTGGAGCCTGCCAAATTTTTCCTGTGGGTGTGGGTGTTCCTCTGGTTGTGGCTCCCTCTATTGTGTTTGGATGAATATGGGAGGACCCACATTAAACAGCACTATCAAGTCTTGTTTTCCGGGGTAGATTTGCAAGCCCAGGAAAGGGTCCATTATCCTCTAGCTTTTTGCCTGGAGGCTATTAGTTTCAGTTACTTTATGAGCCGTGGGTTGTAGCCTTCAACTGAATAAAAAAATCACTCAGGTGTTCATGGTAAGAGATTTCCAGAGGGTGGGGCAGATGCTTGTTGGCTGTTAATGAGCCTCATTGCATTTCTCTGGCCTGGGCTAATGGTGGTAAATTCCTGAGGGAGGGGCTGTTACTTTTCCCAGGGGCTCTTTGAGTAAAATCACTAGTGTACTGTAAGGGAATAATTCAGCAAAATACTCCCATTGCCCTCCCAGCTCTCCAAGCTCCTGAGTCTCCACACAGTTCCAGTCCAGTCTGCCCTCCCTCTGTCAGAGCCCAAGGTGAGTGGTTGTAGCTAATTTAGTGCTGTGTCCTGGCCCTCTGTACTGTGGAACTGGCTTGGGATGTTAACCCCAAGAGAGCTGCTCACAGCTAAAACAGCTGCTGTCTGTGGGCTTCCAGCCCACCCTCTCACACCTCTGCAGTTCCTACCAGGCTCAATTTAGTGTCCTTTTTCCTGTCCCTGGTTATACATGTTCTCTCCAGCTGCTTTTTTCTTGCCTTTTCCTGATGATTTGTCTTTATGTTAGTTGTAATTCCAGTCTGGTCCTGGGAGAAGGTCTGTGTAGCTTCCATTCACTCTAACATCATTTTGGAATTGCAGAATAAGTGATTATTAAATCCCCCAGTTTTTAAGGTACATTGTCATTTTGTTTATTTAATACTACATAAAAATGGTAGTTTGAAAAATTATGAAAAAACATATTTCTATTGAAAAAGAGGAGAAATATCACATTGTTTTTCTTGTTGGCTTGACTGTTGCTTTAATGGGATAGTGTTTCTACTAAGATAAAATTGAAGAAATAAGCAGGTTAAAAAAAGAGGTCTAGTTTCATTCTTTTGTATGTAGCTTTCCAGTTTCCCAGCATCATTTACTGAAGAGGCTTTATTTACTCCATAGTTTGTTTCTGGCTTCTTTGTCAAAATTATCTGCCCATATATATGTAGTTTTATATCTGGGCTGTCAATTCTGTTCTGTTTTCCTGCCCATGGCATGCTGTTTTGATTATTGCAGCTCTGTGGTATAATTTGAAGTCAGGTAGTATGATACTTCTGGTGTCATTCTTTTTTCTCAGGGTTGCTTTGGCTATTTGGGGTCTTTTGTCATTCTATACAAATCTGATTTTTTTTTGTTATTGTTGTTCTTTTTCTTTAAAAAATGACATAGGGATTTTTTTTAAATCCTCACCCAAGGACATTTTTTTCCATTTTTTTGTTCAGATAGAGTGGGAGGGGAAGAGAGAGAGAGAGTGAGAGAGAGAGAGAGAGAGAGAGAGAGAGAGAGAGAGAGAAACATCCATGTGAAAGGGACACATCTAGTGGTTGCCGCCCACACAACCCAACCAGGGCCGGGGACAAACTGCAACCGAGGTATGTGCCCTTAGAGGGAACCTAACCTGGGTCTCTCTGGACCGCAGGCCAATGCTCTAACCACTGAGTAAAACCGACAAAGGCTGACATCGGGATTTTGTTGGGCATTGCATTAAATCTATATACTGCTTTGAATTATATGGCCATTTTAACTATGTTGATTCTTCCCATTTATGAACATGGAATATGTTTCCATTTTGTTGTATCTTTTTCAATCTCTTTTAATAAGGCTTTGGGGTTTTCATATACAGGTCTTTTACATCTTTGTTGTGTATATTCCTAGATATTTTATTCTTTTGGTTGCAAATTTCAGCATGTACAAATATTTATTTAAAAGGAATCAAAGACATAAATATAAGATCTGAAAAAATAAATCACGTAGAAGAAAACATAGGTACTAAATTTATGAACCTTGGTTGTAGAAAACATTTTATAAATTTCACCCCAAAGGCAAGGGAAGGAAAGGCAAAATAAATGAACGGGACTACATCAAACTCACAAGCTTCTGCACAGCAAAAGAAACTGACAACAAAACAGAGAGGCAGCTGACCACGTGGGAGACGATATTTTCAAACAATAGCTCCAACTAAGGTTTGATATCCAAAATATATAAAGAACTCATAAAACTCAACAACAAACAGACGATCCAATTTAAACATGGTCAAAGGATCTGACTAGACACCTGTCCAAGAAGACATGCAAGTGGCCAAAAGATATATAAAAAGATGTTCAACCTCACTAAAAATTAAGGAAATGCAAATTAAAACTACCTTTAGATGCCACCTCACACCTGTTAGAATGGCTATTATCAACAAGACAAGCAATTCCATGTGTTAGCAGGCTGTGGAGAAAAGGAACTCTCTTTCACTGCTGGTGGGGATATAGACTGGTACAGCCACTATGGAAAACAATCTGACAATTCCTCAAAAAATTAAGAGTAGAGTTACCATATGACCCAGCAATCACTCTCCTGGGTATATACCTGAAAAAAACTTGAAAATGTGTATTTGCAAACATATATGTACCCCTATGTTCATCGCAGCATTATTCACAGTGGCCAAGACATGGAGACAACCCAAGTGTCCTATGATAGGAGGATTGGATAAAGATGTGGAATAGTACTCATCCGTAAGAATAGGTGAAATCCTGCCATTTGTGACAGCATGGATAAACATGGAAAATATTATGCTCAGTGAAATAAGCTAGTCAGAAAAAGCTAAGAACCATGTGATTTCACTCACATGTGGGATATAAAACTGAAACTTGTGAGCACAAACAACAGTGTGGTAGTTGCCAGAAGGAAGGGGGGTAGGGGGGGAAGGGGGTGAAGGAGACTTAATATATGGTGATAGAATAAGATCTGACTTTTGGTGGTAGGAACACAGTGCAATATACTTGTCTTGTATCGCAGAACCCTACACCTGCAACATATATGATCCTATTAACCAATGTTAACCCAATAAATTTTTTTAAGAAGTCTATGTGGCCTGGCTAATGTGGCTCAGTGGTTGAGCATTGACCCATGTACCAATAGGTCACCGGTTCGATTCCCAGTCAGGGCACATGCCTAGGTTGTGGGCCCGATCCCCAGTGGGGGGTATGCAGGTGGTGGTCAATCGATATTCTCTCTCATTGATGTTTCTATCTCTCTCTTCTTCTCTCTCTAAAATCAATAAAGAGGGGTAGAAGTGGGATACACACTGACAATTCCCAGAAGAGGGGGCAGGGAGAGATAAACCACAGAACTTATATGCATGTATGCATGAACAATGGACATGGACAACAAAGCTGGGGACAGGGCAGGGAGGGAGGAGGAGGGGGGAATCAGTGGGGGAAAGAGGAGAAACATCTGTAACAAAAATAAATAAATTAATTTAAAAAATAAATAAAATAAAAAAGCAATGAATAAAATCAATAAAGAAAAATTATTTAAAAAGAAAAAATATCTATCTGAATGTCAGCAATCAATCAAGAAGACACCAGGCAACTTTCAAAACTTCAGGCCAAATTGACTGTAGCTTAAACTGGACTGTGCCCAAGCATGCATGTACCATTATTCTGTTCAAGTGATTGCTGAGCTACAAAACAGAATTAATTAGCTTTATTGAAACAGAAGTTAAATGTGTATTTTTGTTCCATTTTTATGAATGCAGAAGTTGTATCCTTACTTTAGCCATTATGTGAGAAAATGTTATTTTTAAAATGGTAATTTTGTTTTGTGTCTTGTTCTTTAGGAATGTGAAAGATACTTGAGATTTTCGATGGCAACATACTGGCTCTTCTGAGGAGTATCAGTCAGCCGGCGTCAAAAGAGCAGAATGAATTGTTGCTTATTTCTGCCTTTTATGTTAGGGATTTCTCTCCTATGGCCTTGCCTTACAGCCACAGAAAATTCCAGAACAGAGGAGGTTAAGCACCCAGTGGGTTCTCGGAGAGTGAAGCGTTTCTGGGTGTGGAACCAGATTTTTGTAGAAGAGGAGATGCGTACCCCTAAACACCGCATTGGCCAGGTACTGGCTTCCTGAAGATGTTACAGGAAGTGCCACTGTATCAATCTAAATCAATGAGGAAGTTTTCGCATATGATAAATTCTAACATTTCTCAGTAGAACCACTGGAAAACTTCAAATGCCAGCGTAATCAATTGCTTCCTGTTTGTTAGGCCCTGAAGAATCCACACAAGCCCTGGATTTCCCCTCTCACATTAGGCTCACGTGAACGCACAGCCTTCATTATCAACATCTGGAAATTTGAGGGTGTTAGTTTTGTTAATGGATCAGGCAACTGCATTGAGAACAATAACGTTACCAGAGTATTTAGCCTGCTTTCCTATTATGCTAAGTAGGTGTTGATATACCCCTCACTCCCTTTTAATGAAGGAGATTAATACCGAATTCTTTTCCAGTTCAGTAGCTTCAAGCACACACACACACACGCGTGCACGCGTGCACACACGCCCGTGCGCACACACGTGCGTGCGCCTTTGATTAGTGAAGCTGAAATACAAAGAAGAATTATTTTCACTTTCTTTAAGAATGTATTTTAAGAGAATTTCCTTCATGAGAAAGACCATTTCCTATTTATGCTTTTGGTTTTATTATTCTTTGATTTTCTTTAAACAGAGGTAATTACAATATCATGTCCTTTCCTGTGAAGCTCTTTCTATAGATGAATGAACTGAAGTGAGTTTAACCACTAATTAACTGGCAGTAAAATTTAATTGGGCCCAAAAGGGTGAGGCACTCACAATTCATTAAATTTTTCCCAGTCCTGTCAGGAGACCTCCAGTATTTGCCTGATGTCCAGATGCAATAGGACCTCATCTATTGCATCATCTCAATGTACATGAGCACATTCAACCAAAGGCTTAGCCTAGGCAAATAGACACATTTCAAATTGTGCGCACGCCCGTGTGTGTCCTGCAAGTAATGTGTCTCGTCCCTTTTTATTCTCTAAGATGACTGCCTGCAGGTACATCACAGGCGGAAGGCCATGAATGAAGTCCCTAGTTAAGTGTCTGCTACTTCAGTGAGTCTGTGTAGCCACATTTACAGTGAATTGCACAGAGCTGCACGGTCTCTCCATTCACAGAAAGGGCGGCAGGCCACCACCGGCGGGTGACTTTGGTGAGCAAGAATCTGCGGAGAAGTGTATCGCTGCAATAGAGCAGGGGAGACTCCCTAGCTAATGCACATTTTCTAGTTTTTATTTTTCTGCTCCTTACACAGATCTTAACCCCCTCTTCACAAGAATAGGTTTTGCCTATTTTTGCCTTCTCTAAATATATTTATGAAAATATCCAACCAGATATTTTCCCTTCAACAAGCTCCTGAGGCTTAAATAACATACAGATAACTGGTTTAAAAGAGAGTAATAATACATGCTTAGGTGCTTATAATTAAACAGCTGGTAAAAATAGAACCTAGTGGATGTATCTGACATAATTTTCTTTTTGATCTATATATTAAAAGTGATTAATTTTCACAAGTAAGTAAAAATATAAAGTCATATTGATTTGCCGAACTGATAATAACTGCCTAATTGAGAAAATACTTTTTGAATGGGAATATGGAAATTTTATAATACTAGAAGCCATGAAATTGAAAACGGTTTAACTGAAGCATCTTGTGATGTTAAGAGGCAGATGTTCAAGAAAAAATGTTTTTTGCTTTTTTTTTTTTTTAACTTAGTTCTGTGTCCATAAAAATTCAAGCTCACTGATCTATGAAAATGACCATATAAATATACTTGAAGTACATGTATTCATTGCTAAATTTGACTTATTTTTATTTAATATTGAACTGAATTTTCAAACTACATCAAAATGATATTTGGCCCATGCTTTACTTTCATATGCTATATTTATTTGAGAGGACATTTGTTTTCCTTAATTTCTTATTAGGTCATAGAGACTTCCTTTTTACTTTATGATAATTAAGTACTGTCAAATTATAAGAGCTAGAACTTTTTCATTATTTTTTTATTAGTAGTGCCAATTTTTTTATTGCATGGCATGGAAATTTAACACATTGTTAAAATTATTAAAATTAGTTGTTTGAGGTCTTTTCAGATATTCTCCCCAATCATACAGAAAAACTTGTTAATTAGTCCAGAATCATATGCACTGTACCTTGAGCTCTCTGAAAGTTATGAATTTAAGATTGTATTTCTTGGTTCACTTTGTAAAATTTCAGAGAAGCTCTTACTTTGAAGGAGGGCATATTCATAATTAATGAAACGAGGAAACCATAGAGTCACAATAATTAGAAACTTATTTGAGCCTTTCCTCTTTATATAAAAGTAATTTAGATATAAAAAATAATAAAACATACAATGTTACCTATATCACAATTACCCTTGTTTTTTATGTATGAAATTCAAAATTGTATTAACACTATGTATGAGTGATAAACAGATTTACTTTGCTTTTAAAAATCAAAATAATGTGAGCACAAGAAGAAAAGGTATAGTTGAGAATTGAGTAGAATAGGCCTGGAGGTAGAATTTAATCTTAAAATGAATATTATACCTTATTTAATATTGTATGGGAGTGATGAGGGATTATTAACTTGGAGAATAATATACAGACAAGAAAATAAAGTCATTACAATTGACTTGTCTGTTTCGACATGTCTGGAAACTAAATGATCTCTCTTCGGCTTGCAGCTGAAATCTGATAAAAACGACGGACGCCCCTCTTTGCGGTACAAGATTTCAGGAGAGGGAGCGGGAACTATTTTTTCCGTTGATGGAAAATCAGGTCTCTTGTACGTGCTCCAGAAGCTTGACAGAGAGGACCAGGCCTCCTACACTCTGAAAGCCCACATGATAGACATCTCTACTGGGGAGACTGTGGAGCCTGAGTCCGAGTTCATCATCAGAGTTACAGACATCAATGACAATGAACCAAAATTCCTAGATGGACCTTATGAGGCCGTTGTACCAGAGATGTCTCCAGAAGGTACTGCACATTAATTTACATCAGACATATATTAGCAGTGAACACAGACTTGAGATTTTATGCATATGCTTTGGAAGTGAATTGTTTGAAAATTCTACATTTGTACTTACCTTCTACACGCATGTTAAATAAAATATTTGAAATAGAAAACGATTAAAATTTTGTAACAATAGTACTATGTATTGCTAAATCATTTGTCTTGATAAAATATATTCTCAGTCTTCAAAGCAATAGGGAAAAGGTTTAAGGTGTTTATTTGAGTGATCTAAAAATACTTTAGCTTGTCCACTTACTAGTTTCTTCACTATAAGAATTTATTTTCCAAGAAAATATATACTTTTGTATCAAATAAAAAAAATGGTGATCCTAGCAGATATACACGTACAAATAGAAGTTCATTTATAAGACAAACATTCTCTGTGCATCAGAATCATGGAACATGAAGCCTAAAAACAAAACAAATTGGTCAAATACCTCTGTGAAGCATGATACACTTTCAAGTTCCTTTTTAAACCCCATGTTACTTTATAAATATTTTAAATATAAGACATGTAGAAAAGAGTGCTTTTCATAAGATATAAGAATTGACTAACTTGGGAATCAGAAATGTCTTTCCAATAGGCGGGGAATTATAGTGTGGTTATGTAAAATGTGTCCACCCACTCACTGAGTCAGAAAATTCTGATAATACGATATATAATTACATTTAATGTATACAGTTTTCTAACACGATAAACTTAAATGTGATTTAATAATGATCGTTTAAGATGTTGCTTCCGTGCTCAGAAACCGTTTTACTTGACCGTTGGATTCATTAGCCAGTGAGTCTAAAAATGTATATTCCATGGTATATTTTTGTGATCGTTTGTTTCTAACATTCCAGGTAGTAATTTAAAGACCTCTTGCTATGTGTGTTCAGGACATAGGTCATTAATTACAGCATAAACAGATTTAGCTGTGTAATATGTGTCAAGACCAATTATCGTTAGATTTAAATGACATTAATATTGTTCTATTTAGTAGTAAGGCAATAAAACATTATTTCCCCTCAATCTCCTCCTCCTCCTCCTCCTTATCCCCTTCTACTCCTTCTTCAACAAGTATATATTATGGATCTAACATGTTTTAGGAACTTCCCTTTGAAACTGCAGATTTCATTGTGGAGCAGATATACGAATTAACCGCTAGTATGCAACTTACGGTTTAGTTATAACAAAACGATCACTATTTTAAATAAACAAGGTAATATTCGATACTGGAAGTTCTGCAAGTATAAAGTGTGGGGAAAGTCTGACGATGGTTCATTGACTGGAGGAAGTGGGGACATTTCAGCAGGTGCTGTTTGAAGGGAATGGTACAAAGAGGCCAGCCGGCCCTGTTCCAGGAGAAGATGCTCACAGCGAGGTGATGAGGACTGCATTACGCCCACGGGAGTTGTTGGTCTAGAGCGGGCATGGAGGCGTGGCACTGGGTGAGATCCTCCTGAAGGGGAATGTAGGTCCTGATGAGAGAAACATGGCAACTCGACTGTTGAGCCAATGGGGGCTGGCTGGTAAATTCACATGAATGCGATTGGCCAGCGATGTAGGAAGAGACACGGGATGAGGTGTGGCAAAGGAAGCGATCCTGCAACCACGTGGAATGCTGCTGGGAGGCTGAATGAAATCAAGGCAGTGGTGATTTGACTGAGCGAGTTCAAGGCCCTAGGGTGTTCGGTCAGAGCGATTTGGTTGAATGCGTGTAACTAGGATGTGTGGGAAATTATTCTGTTGCATGAATAGAAGGAGAAAAGGAGGTGACAGTTAATGTAGCCACTGTAAACGTGCTGTGCTATAGGGAGAAAATAGAGAGGTGAGGCAGGAGATGGAGAAAAAGAAGGTAAAAGGGATTTTTAAAAAATCATTGCTTAATCATTTATGGAGATGGGGCATTTTACAGCATAGTTTTATACTATAGGAAACGATGCAAAAGAAAAGTAGCTTTGAAGCAAAGTAAGACGGATATGATTACTGGAAAACTATTCTTGAGAAAAAGCTATGAAATCTAGGGCAATAAGGGAGGGGACAGATGCAGGTAGGTTAACAAACTGCTTGATAACCAACCAAGTAATAAGAGGTTGTTTCTATTTTATCAGCGAGGCATGAGGCGCAGGCAATCACGGAGAGTGGAGGGGAAGAATTTAGGGAGAGAAGAGGAGGTACAAAACAGGCATTTTGCAGAGTTGGCGAGCAAGCCCATGATGGAACTCCAGTGTGTACAACACAGTATTTATATCGTGGCACCGGGCTGCAGCCTGGCTGTGGTTGATTTGATGGAGGTCACAAAACATTGGTTTGGTCTGCATGATATTTGGCTACTTATGCTCAGAATTGAGAGGTTCCAGTACATATTAACCTAGTCAATCTGTCATTTAATACAGCCTGTGGAACTGCCAGTCAGGGTTCAGGCTGTGTTTGGAATCATACCAGAAGCACTGAGCACTTTTCATATCTGTCCATGGATGGAGGGGGTCAACGGCATGATGGGCAGCTGCAACCAGACGTGTTCTGGTATGGAAATAGTGGACTATCCCCATCGCTCTGCCAATCATCTTGTAGACAGTTTCCCTCTGGAACATTCTTACAGTTATTAACTTTGTTTATTAATAATATGTGTAACTTTTCTGTTTCCCTCAATATCAATATTTAATTAATGGATACTGTGGACTTTATTTTACTTGAATATATCTTTAATTCTTCATCTTCTCTCCATAATGGTTGTCATTTAACAGGTTCTTGAGAGTTACTCTTGCTTCCAAATTCCCTACCCACCTATTTTATCTCTTACAAAGCAGCCAGTGAACACATTTTATTCTCCACTGTCTTTCTTAAATATGTTTGTGTTTTATTAGTGGCTATCACTAATTATTATATTTGAAGCTGTACTTTGAGCTTAGAATTTGGTGGACTACTAAATGGAATCTACATTTGAGAATAATCAGAAGAGAAAATCAAGAAAACTATAAAACCACTTGTTGCTTATTTAACAAATAATATTTATTTACAAGTAATGTCTATTTATAAATAAGATTTATTTACAACTAATGATGGGCTTGTACTGCTTACATTTATATTTGGAATGCAGTACTTTTAAACAAGAACTATCAGAAAAAAATGTTTTCTCACTCGTCAGTCTGTATTTACAAATATTATGTTTCTTCCACACAAAAATATAACATCTAGCCCTGGCTGGTTTTGCTCAGTGGTTAGAGCGTTGGCCTGAGGTCCAGAGAGACCTGGGTTCAGTTCCCGCTAAGGGCACGTACCTCGGTTACAGTTTGTCCCCAGTCCTGGATGGGTCGTGCAGGTGGCAGCCACTCGATGTGTCCCTTTCACATCGATGTTTCTGTCTCTCTCTCCTTCCCACTTTGTCTGAACAAAAAATGGAAAAATGTCCTCGCGTGAGTATAAAATATATTTATATATATATAATCTAATAGGCCAAAAATCATACAGTACCTGAGGTTTGGGATGATGAGTAAATGAATGAGTGCATGGATTGATAAAAATGCTACAAAAGTGCCCTGGCTGGTTTGGCTCAGCGGTTAGAGCGTCGACCTGCGGTCCTGAGAGACCCGGGTTCGGTTCCTGCTAAGGGTGCGTACCTCGGTTGCAGTTTGTCCCCGGCCCTGGTCGGTCGTGCAGGTGGCAGCCACTTGATGTGTCCCTTTCACATCGATGTTTCTCTCTCTCTCTCTCTGTTCCTCTCTCTCCCTCCCACTCTACCTGAACAAAAAAATGGAAAAATGTCCTCGGGTGAGAAAAAAAAAAAAAATGCTACAAAAGTGATTAGATTGGTTTGGAAATTAGCAGAAAATATTGGTCGATGTAAAATCCAAGGAAATGCCACAGGTGTGAGTTGAGGCCCACAGTGACTCAAAGTGCTTCAGGTAGTCTTTTTTTATTTTTATTTTGTATTAATTGAATTTACTATGATGACATTGGTTAATAAAATTGTATCGGTTTCAGGTATAAAATTATATGGTACTTGTCTTCATCTTTAAACAGTATCTTCTAAATTCTGAAATTTATCAGTGTAGAATTTTTAGAAATATACCTAATTTCCTAAGGAACATACAATCTACCAACTGTCTCGTGAAGCAATAGCAAGTCTGAACAGACCAAGGAGATGGCATCAATAATCAAACACTTTCCAACGAATAGAAGTCCAGACCCAGTGGCTTCGCTAGTGAAGTCTACCAAGCACTGGAAGAAAAGTCAACGCCAATTTTTGTCATACTCTTCCAAAAATTTGTAGAGTTTGGGATATTCTCAAACTCACTTTGAAAAGCCAGTACTATACTGTTATCAAAACCAGATAAGTGCATCACAAGGAAACGTTTTTTATCTATGATAAATATAGATGCAAAATTCCTAATAAAATTCTAGCAACCCTAGTTCAACAGCACTTTAACAGGGTCATACACTATGATCAAGTGGGATTTATCCCTGAGATAAGAGAATGTTTCCACATAAGCAAAGCAAACATCATACACCACTTTAATAGAATAAAGAATAAAGATCATATGATCCTCTCAACAGACACAGGAAAAACATTTGACAAAATTTAACCTTGTTAACAAACTAGGTATAGAAGTAACACAGATCAGCATAATAAAGGCCATATAAGACAAACCAACAGCCAATATCATACTCAATTGTGAAATGCTGAAACTTTTTTTTTCAATCAGGAGAATGGCAAAGATAACCACTCTTAAGTACTGTTATTCAATATAGTACTGGGAGACCTAGACAAAATAGTACTAAGGAGCCAAGAACATTCAATGGGGAAAATACATTTATTTCAATAAAGGGTGCTCGGAAAAATGGATACTCACCTGCAAATGTATGACATTGTACTCCTATTACACTACTCACAAAAATGCATTAAATTGAAGACTGAATTAAATTAAAGACCAAAATTATTAAACTCCTAGAAGAAGACATAAGGGAAAATCTGTT